CTGGTGATTTTTCAGTTTTTAAGTTGTCTATCAGTTTTAGGACCTCCTCTCTCGTCACCTTAATCTGACTCAGGTCTTTCAACACCCCTCCTGAAATCAGCGGTTCTGGAGTGGGCAAGCACTTCTGATCTTCCACAGTGAAGACAGAGGCAAAAAATGCATTTAGCTTCTCAGCCATTTCCCTATCATCCTTCAGTACTCCTTTTACCCCTTGATCATCCAAGGGCCACACTGCCTCCCTGGCTGGTTTCCTGCTTCTAATGTATTTTAAGAAAGTTTTATTGTTTGTCTTTACGTTTTTTGCTATATGCTCCTCATATTCCCTTTTTGCCTGCCTGACCACAGACTTGCATTTTATTTGCCATAGCCTATGTTCCGTTTTATCAGCCTCACTGTGACTAGCTTTCCACTGCTTAAAGGAATCCTCTTTACCTTTTACAGCTTCCATTACTTTGTTTGTTAACCATGCAGGCTTTTTCCTATACCTATTTGTGCCTTTCCTAACCTGCGGAATATTTTTTTTTTTGAGCTTCTAGGATCGTAGTTTTAAATAGTTTCCAAGCTTCCCCAATGGTTTTGACCCTTTCTACTTTTCCTTTCAGTTTCCTCCCCACATGTCCCCTCATATCAGAGAACTTTTAAAGTTAAAAGTGGTTGTGTCAGTCTTTTTGGCCAATTCCCTATTTATACAAATGTTGAACTCAACAACATTATGATCACTGTTCCCAAGCGGTGCAATCACTTTTACATCTCTCACCAGGTCTTGAGTAGTACTTAGGACCAAATCATACCTGTGTTCCGTTTTATTAGCCTCACTGTGACTAGCTTTCCACTGCTTAAAGGAATCCTTTTTACCTTTTACAGCTAAGATTACTTTGTTTGTTAACCAAATTTGGATTTGGATTATTTATTTATTTAATTATTATTGGAGCAGAAATAAAATATTGATGTTTGAGTGTGTTTAAATATTATTGTTTATGGAGGGTTTTTTGTTAACTGGTGAATCCACTGTTTGAGAGTGTGCGAAGGATTTTTGTAAATAGTTTAGACAATAAACCTCTTGATTAAAGTATCTTTTGGTATTCTGGGTAAAGCTAATGTTTCTAAAATACTCTTACTGCTGTTTGACAGTGTTTTTGTCCTGTGCAGAGAAAGTGCAAATCATATTTTTTCAAGGGGGGGGGAGTATGTAATCATAAGGATTCTCATGTCCCATTTATGTAGCAGGAAGCTGTGGCTTACTGTGAATGTGTAACCCCTGCTATTTTTTGCATGCCTTTCTATAGGTGGTGGGGATAAAAAGCTACACAAGGATCTCCTACACGTTTTATTACTGAACAAATTTTTGTATGTGTTGTTTCTAGGTTTCTGTTCTGGTTTACAGCACCAGAGAAGGTTGACTTAACAGATTTATTCCAGATCAGTTTTTTGTTTCAGATTCAGTTCATCTTGATAAATTTGAATTCTGCATAGCTATTAAAATATCCAATTCAGTGACAGTTCATTGTGAATACTCATACACGTGTACATTATGATGCTAGGAGCCATTGCACTGTGATAAAATATTATCTAGGCTATTAGTGTTAATGGTATGTGTATTTTGAGGATGACTGTTCAGAGAAAAAATATTTCAGTACCTGGGTACTGAAAGATGACATTTCTTTTTTGTGTGTTCTTCCCAGAAACAAAAAGGCAGTAGATTATTCTCAGTTTGGAGATGCGGATGATGATGATGGTAAGTGGTCTCTTTGTGTCACTTATGGGTCCTCAGCGCTGTAAGGGGTCGGGTGTCCATTGAAACAGGTGCGATGATGACTGTGCAACATGGACCTGTGACAAAGCTGAATGTAAGCTAGTGTTTATGAGCCAAGTAAAGCTACCTCTATAATATCCGAAAGTCTAAGTAGGCCCGAATCTCCCATTACAAAACCAATGACAAACCATTGTTGTTCAGTCTCATAGAGGGACTTAAACTTTGATAAAAACAGAAGTCTCGGCTAACCCCAGGGGAAGGAGCAGAGAGGTCAGTGCTGGAGAAAGTTAAAAAGTTGATACTAGTTTCTAGGGCTCTGTTTTACCCACGAGGAAAAACTGAAACCATTCAGGAAGGAGAGGATCTCAGTTAATCTTAATTATAGAACATGTGGATCATGTGCAGCCAGTGGTTCCACTCCTGGATGTTAAAGGAGGGGGGAACATGCACTTGAGCACTGGGTAGATAAGGAAGAATTGCTGTGGTGAGAAATTAATTTGTTCAAACTGTGGGCAGAATTGGGATTTTGCGGCACCAAGTTGTTTTAGATATGCTCCAGTTTGAGACCAGTCTTTGATAACCAACAGCAGTGGTAGAGGCTGTTCCATAAGGAACTTGGTTGAACACAGTGCCATAGAGCAGGTTTTCTCCAAAGCAAGCATGGGCTGCCTGGTATGGTGAAGTGAATGGTGAGACCTTTGGCATCTTTGTGTGTGTGTTTAAGAGCACCCTGTAACGCACAGCTACTCTGAGGGGCTTTTTGTTATTAATCTGTTAAACTGTCTGGTTCTTCTAAGGATTTGTTTCAGATTTTAAATGGTTATATGGCATGTAATTTTGAATCATGACTGGAAACTGCTGATCTATGGAGGAGAGACTGTATGCAAATACCTTTAATAAATGAACCAACAATTAAGTGGCCCTTTCCAGTCTAAGCCAAGCTATGCAGTATATTTGTCCTACAAAAAGCAGCAGGAAGCTGGCTGTTCAGAGCTTTGATGGCCTTCCCACGTCAGGCAATAAAATCTTGGGAGGTCTTGTAGTAATGCTGACAGTAAAGGAGGAGTTATGGGCTGGCTCCCTTATTTAATTTTCTAAATCTTCTTTTTAGCTCAAATTGGTTCCAAAATCAGCTCACAGGGACTGAAAAATGAAGAAACATTGTCACTATGATGTTCTTGCTATATTTATTACTAAGGCCCCGGTCACATGGGCCGGAAAATGCGGGGGGGAAGCGTGGCTGTTTGCCCCGGAGCAAAATAACGTGCGGCCGCCTGATCACACGTCCCGTCGAGGTCCTGTGGTTAGGGCGTGAGGTACCGATCACACGGCTATCCTGCAGCGCAGCAAAGAAGCGGCGCGGCGCGATCACACCAGCAATCGCTAGGCGCTGCTTCGGTTGCAAACGGGAATATTTTTTTCCCCACCAAAAGGTGAGCATGTGCATGATCGTTTGTGCGCGTCCTGTGAAGACTAAAAAAAAAACTAACCAGTTTGCGACGGGACTAGGACGGGATGCGATCAGACGCCCGCCTATGCCCCGCGTTTTCCGGAAACTAGTACATCGTAAGTACTAGTTTTTTACTCCGTATCTTCGGCACAAAGCCACGGGTTAGCCATGGGTGCACTACATTTCCCAGATGTTGCGGTGTGATCGTGCCCGGAAAATCCGCCTATCATCCGTATCTTTAGTGTGGCAAATGCTCCATGTGAACGGGGCCTAAAATGCTTTTTTAAAGAGCCTATGTTCCATGGAGAAGTTCTTAGCTGACCTTGGTCCAAGTGCAGTGGATCAGTGCCCATCTACCTCCTGCCTCTCCTTTGATAGTATTTGTTCTTTGGATTGTTTATTTAATTAATTTACTAGATTTCTATTCTGCCTTTTCCTGAAGGCTCAGGGTAGAGTACACCAATAAAATGATTGGATATAAAAATACATAATATATAAGATAATAAAATCAGGCACTGGTCATTCATAAATAATCAATAAAATATAAAGAAGTAGATAATCTTCTTGCCTCTGGCTAATTTTTTATGCTTCTTTCCTGATTTGCTTTGAGAATTGTAGATTAAATGCCCTGACCTGGATAGCCCAGGCAAGCCTGATCTCAAAAGATCTTGGAAGCTAAGCAGGGACAACCCTGGCAGGGACAACCCTGGCAGGCACTTAGAAGGGAGACCTCCAGTTTGGTGTAGTGGTTAAGTGTGCGGACTCTAATCTGGGAGAACCGGGTTTGATTCCCCACTCCTCCACTTGCACCTGGCTGGATGACCTCAGGCAAGCCATAGTTCTGGCACAGCTGTTCTTGAAAGAGCAGTTTCTGTCAAGAGCTCTCTCACCCCCACCTACCTCACAGGGTGTCTGTTGTGGGGAAGGGAAGGGAAAGGAGTTTGTCAGCCGCTCTGAGACTCTTTTGGGTTGTGAAGGGCGGGGTATAAATCCAATCTCCTCCTCTTCTTTGAATCATAGAATGTTAGAGTTGGAAGGGACCTTGCAGGTCATCTAGTCCAACCCCCTGCACTCTGCAGCAGCATAGCTGAAAGATAGCCCTACATACCTACAACATACGCGAAAGATGGTTGTCCAGCCTCCGCTTGAAAGCGTCCAGCGAAGGAGCATCCACCACCTCCCGAGGCAGTCTGTTCCACTGCTCAACCACTCTAACAGTTAGGAAGTTTCTCCTGATATTTAGCCGATAATGACTCCCTTGTAATTTCCACCCATTAGATCTAGTCTTGCAATCCGGAGCAAGAGAGAATAGATCCGCTCCATCTTCTACATGATAGCCCTTCAGATACTTGAAGTCTGCAATCATGTCCCCTCTAAGCCTTCTCTTTCCCAGGCTAAACATACCCAACTCTTTCAGCCTTTCCTCATAAGACTTGGATTCCAACCCTCTCACCATTCTGGTTGCCCTCTTCTGGACACGCTCGAGCGTGTCAACATCCTTCCTCTTCTCCAAGGAATACCAGGGCTGAGACACAGAGACAGGCAATAGGAAGCTACCTCTCTGAAATGTCCAAGTCCCTCTAGGGGTCGCCAGAAGTCAACCATGACTTCCAGGCATATACACATACATAAATACCAAAAAGAACAAGAAAGAATTGTAGATTGAAAGAGAAGAAGAAGAGATTGGATTTATACCCCGCCCTTCACTACCCAAAGATGTCTCAGAGTGGCTTACAAATTCCTTTCCCTTCCCCTCCCCACAACAGACACCCTGTGAGGTAGGTGGGGCTGAGAGAACTCTGACACAAACTGCTCTTTTTCAAGGACAGCTGTGCCTGAGCTTGTGACTGACCCAAGGTCACATCAGCAGGTGCAAGTGGAGGAGTGGGGAATCAAACCCGGTTCTCCCAGATTAGAGTCCGCGCACTTAACCACTACACCAAACTGATTGAAAAAGAGAGTTGAAATGATCTTAATAAATAAACTGGTCTGGAAGCTTAGCTGGGTAGATGCAAGACAGCGAGGGCTGTTTGGTGGCTTCTGGTGATGCCAGGAAGGAAGCTTCAGAGTTCTGAACTAGGGGAGATGGCCTGCATTTTACATGGTGAGCGTAACATGTAGTCTGTCTCCCTGTGTTAGGGATAGCGACTTCTAACTCCAGAGACAGCAGGCCTCTAGTGTTTGGTAAGTTATCTTCTCAGCATACTCAGCTGAAGTCTTGCAAGAAGAGAAGGGGGAGAAACCAATTGTTCCTCTGTTCTTGCTTGCACTTTGATATTTCTGTACAGGGAGGAACTTGCAAGTGAGGGTTGGGGGCTATTACCTTGCTTTGCTGTTGACTTTGTTTTTCATGACTATGGCATGGCCGTTATTTACAAAATGTTCTGCCTTCTCCAGGGCCACCAAGGTAGGTAATAGATTAAAAACATATATCATTAAATACCAGTCTTAAAAACCATTAAAACAAAAACACATCATTAAAAAAATTAAAACCTCGGCTGGGAGGGCAGGGTATAAATCTGATAATGAATAAATAAATAAGAAAGATACAAAAAGTAAAAACAGTGGTTAAAACACTGGGCAGGAAGGAGGGATC